ACTTGAAACTATAATTATAAAACTTGAATATAGTCAGATTAATTAGGTTTTACTAGATAAATACTTTTTCGGTTAAATTTGAAATCATAGTTCCCTGAGAAATAAAAAACTTTTCAATATTTAAATCAGTAAAATATATACAATAAAGGAGGAAAATAAAATTTTGACAAATCATTATACAACTTGATTCTATCAACGATATGAATTTTGTTAAAAGCATTTATGTTTTTTTTTTTTTCATTTTAAAAAACCAACATCAATACAAGGTTGGATACAATTAACACCTCTCCTTGTTGTGGGCGCCAAAAAGATGGCTTGCAGTGGTGTCCGAAAAACTATGATGAGCGATGCAATTTCATTATATGGAATCTCTCTTCTAGAAACCTGGTCTCTGCCATGACACAATTTCATTCTATGGCTTGCGGTTGTAAAGAAGCTTAAAACGAAGGACATATTATGTTTCATCCCAATGGACACCTCCTGCGTGTTTTGTGGGCAAGCTATGGAATCTCACCAGCATCTCTTTTTTGCTTGCAGGTGGACATCATGCTTCTGGGGGAGCATAAAATCCTGGCTGCATATACATCGCCGAATGTCGACTCTGACCAGTGCTATTCGAGGTCTTACCTCTGGAGGAAATAATATTGAAGCAAGAATGCGGAGAGTCTCTTTAGGACTCACAATCTACCTAATTTGGGAGGAAAGAAACAAGAGGATATTTGAATCCTCTTGCATCTCCATGGAATCTCTCTTCTGGAAATTCCAAGTGATGTTCTTCACAGTTCTTCACTTTCATGAGAAAGGATCACAATTGTCTTAATCTTGGCTGGTGTGCAGTTGCTGCCTGGCCTATGTTCGATAATTTTTGATGAGTTGAATCATGTTTGCATGGTTGATAATTATTCTCTCCTGGTATCTGCTCTCCTAGCTGGCTTCTGCTTGGTCTTAGGATGCAGTGCTGAATCTGCGGTTTTTGTTTTTGTTGGCGGGTGGGTTCAGAATGGCCTGACCTCTCTTTTCTTCTTGATATGCTGTTGTGGCTGGATTTTTTGGCTCTGCATGGCTCTTTTGTTGGTTTAACTTCAGCACCTTTTCTACTTATGGGTTTCTTAGTTAACCAATTTTGTTTATATTTTTATGTTAAGGGATCTTGTTTTCCTCTCCAGCTTTGCATTGTAATCTGTATATGTTAGCTTAATTTGCTTTTCTTGGGAAGATGTTCCCTTAGGTCTTACATGTTTGTATACATGACTTGTTAGCTTACATTTGATCTTTATATATACTTACATTTGATTAAAAAAAAAAGAAAAGAAAACTATGATGAGCAGAGTTTCCTGAGGTTGGAAAATGTTTGAGTTGATAAAAACTGAGTCCCTACAGTTTAATAAAAATAACATGTCAGTCATTATGGTTTCAAAATTTATATATTTAATCCCTGTGAATCTATTTATAATTGAATCCTCCATCAATTACACGTTTTTTCTAATTTAAATTTATTTTATTTTAATAAACAAAACAAAAGAGAGATCTGAGTGATTAAGATGGAAAAATCTGACAAAAAAGCTGTTATTTTCGAGGGAAAAAACCCATTAAATTGAGAACTGCCAATGTTAATCAACGGACTAATTAGTTGTTTTAGACTGGTAAATTATATTGAATAAAAACAAGAACAAAGTTATAATTAACTCAAGAACATTTTATTACAGGCCTCAAGTGTTATTCTATCATATTTGGCAGCACACACTACTAGCACAAACTCGTTTGCATCCGAAATTTAGCTAGGTGTAGCTAGGAGATGTGCAATAAAGTATTGGATCATCTCATTCTTCCAATAAATTCATCTTTGGAAAATACAGATAGGTAACAAACGTACAACATATCTCTCCAAGATTCATCATGGACATATATTTATGCCTGTCCTTCCTGACCCATAGCTTATCAATAATTATAAGCATACAAACCATGTTTAAGCTTACTTACATGCATGTATATAGCTGCAATTAACTATATCCTAAAATATATTCTTCATCAGTTGCAACGCGTAAGCAATCAACGCTTCCCGTGCAACTTAGAGCATGAGATAAGAGGCAGATTGTTGACAAATCTGCTTGGAGCCGATGAATGCCTATAACCTTTCGGCAAGCAACCTTTGACATCTGGCTCAGTACCGAAAAAGGGTCGCCTGTGATTGAAAAGAGGCTCCCTTTTCACATAATCTTCACCCTGCGAATCTAAAGGAGGCATCATGGTGCTTGGAACACTAGAGGGGATGTCACGGCCAGCCATAGTGATGCCCAGAGAATTAGATGACAGCAGGAAATAGGTGAACAAAAGGTAAAACATGGTAGTGCTATTAGTAGTCCTCATGATTTTTAAGGTTTTATTTGTGGACTTGGTGGAGAGGTTTACAAGGGGTTTTATGGGAGACGACGGAAGTGAAGAGTGGGAAGGGCCCTAAATAGGCTCGTGAGTTGCGGAAGAAAGCAGATACGACACAGCTCATTGCTAGCAAGTAGATGGCATTACTTTGAGTGTGTGGTGGAGGTGGATTACCGAGGTTGGCGCAGCTCCTTTCTTTCACCGTGGAAGAGGTGGGGATGCCCGTGAGTCTTTATTTTATTTTATTGCATGGGTCTACTTCTTATTCACCTGTATCTAACTTCCAAATATTTTTGTTGATCATATTCATCTGGGAAATTAAATATTGCTGATCATGCGAGCAATAAATTTTACAACTTAAATAGGTTAGTTGTCTATACATACAAGAAACATTCATAAAAAAAACTATACTTTTGTTTCTCATAATTGCTTTCCTTAGATATAAGCCATCAACTTTTTGGTGTGATATATTTACAAGACTTGAATTCAAACCATGCTATTCTCGTAATTGCTTCTCCAAACTCATCTAATTTCATGAATTTGTAAAATCACCATTTTATTAAGCATGCCCTAATTAGAGCAGTAATTAATAAATCCCAAGTAATCAAGTTCCTGATTTGGGGTAATAACATGATTATAGACATAAACATAGCCTCCATTTAATAGATGGCTCCTTTTTGTTGACTATACAATCCTGAATGATGACAAGTAAATTGCAATTAAATTTAATTTTGAAAAATTAATTTCAAGGAAGACTGATGATCATATGGATATCCCATTAAAATGCCAAGACAAGAGATAGATTTCATTTTACCTTTCAGGTATATTATTAATAATTGAAAGACGAAAAACTCAATTTCTTGACACTCAGATTTCGGACAAAATATACGCTGCTGGAGTACATGCTGTAGAGTGTAGAGTAATGAATCATCACAAGTCAACCTTAAATCCCATTTTGCCTTGTGTTCCGGGTGGGGTCTTCTGATTGGGCACATGGCCAAATACCAGTAATAAATGGGTTTCTGCCACGTTGCATGGCCTCAAAAAATAGAAGAAGAAAAAAACCCTCCCTGAAACAAAGTTATAAAACTGTGATATTGAATTTGGATGCAGGCATTAATCTCTTTAAAGGTGGTCTGATGAATGGTTAATGTTGTTTTGTAAAATATTTTTTATTTTTAAATATATTAAAGTAATATATTTTTATTTTTAAAAAATTATTTTTGATATTAATACATTAAAATAATTTAAAAACATCAAAAACATATTAATTT